CTTCTAAAGAGCCGTCAGGGTTGATCTCCTCTAGGACTGACCGGTTGGATCGCCCTGCTGTCCAAGGGACTCGCAGGAGTCTTCTCCAGCACCATACTTCAAAGGCCTCAATTCTTTGTACCTCAGCCTTTCTTAGTTTGTAGGTTGGAGACCCCTGCTTTAGAAGCCTACAGATAATTTCTCAACAATTTCATGTTGACGTCTGTAGTGCAGACATACAAAAAGCTCTCAAGGCTGACTTTTGTCCAGACTTTCTTGCCTGCATGGTTGAGATTTCTGATTCATGGAACTATTTTTGTTGGTTAAAGAAACACGTTGATGATTGCATTTTAGCCAAGCCACTGAGGCAAAGAAATGATTGTACAGGTAGTCCTCAACTTACAACAATTCACTTAGTGACTGTTTGAAGTGACAACGGCATTTTAAAAAGCACCTGTTTTTCACACTGAACGACCATTGCAATGTTCCCTTGGTCACCTGATCCAAATTCAAGCGCTTGGGCAAGTGACTCCTATTTATGACGGTTGCAGTGTCCTGGGGTCCATGTGACCACCTTTTGCAATCTTCTGATGGCCAAAATGAATGAAGAAACCAGATTCACTTAACACTAATTTAACAACTGCATTGATTCAATTAACTGGCAAGAAAGGTCGAAAAATGGGTACAAAACTCATTTAACAACTGCCTCGCTTGGAGCAGAAATGTTGGGCTCAATTGTGGTCGTAAGTCAAGGACTACCTATTTTAAAATTGTTTTATGAAAGCACAGATTGTTATCACAGTCCCTGCCTATTTTTAAGCTTTCAAATGAACAGAAGCGTGTATGTAAGTTCAATTGCTTTTTCCAAAATGTATTCAGGCAGCTAAACTGCCTTTTTTCATTCCTACTTTTCCTTCCTGGCACTTATCCTGCAGAATCAGGGAAACTGGGACCTTGGAACTCTATTGCCCCTTTCTATGGTAATTCTGTAAATAGAGTGCTGTCCAGGGGTGGGCTTCAACATTTTTAGCAAGGGGTTCTCTGCCCAATTCCTGAGTGGGTGTGGCCTAGTCAGCCTCCTGCACCACAGTCTGTGTGCGGGGGCATTTTTGCCTGCCCCGGGCTCCGGAGACTTTTCTTGGGCCTCCGGGAGGGCAAAAATGGTCTCCCCAGGCTCCGGAGGCCCTCTGGTGGCTGGAAACACACCCAAACGTCCATTAGGCCCATTTTGCACCCTCCCCAAGCCTCCCCACGCGCCCTGCACTTACCTGCATCCAAAACGGGCCACGTGGGGACTCCGTGGAGGGGATGGGCCAGCCAGGAGTGGGATTTGGGGGTTCTCCAAACTGCACAGAATTTTACCTAGATGTTCTCCCGAACCCCTGCAAACCCCTAGCAGCCCACCCCTGGCACTGTCTTTCTTTTTTTAAAAAGAAGCCACTATGCCCTGATCAAATTATGTTTCT